GGGCAGACACTGCACAGAGCCACTGCATTGCAGGCTCCCGGCTGGCTCAGCCCTGAGCACTGGCTGTGGTGGCTGTTCCCAGAGCCCAGGGAACAGCGTGTGACTGCAGCTCCCACTCGCAATGTACCGGACACACACAGAGACCAAGGGGGAGCCCCCTGAGCCCAACGTCCTGCCCCAGCCAGGCAGTGTCCCTTTGTGGTCAGGGTGGCTGTGCCCCATCCCTGTGGAGCTGTGCAGGCCAGCTGGGCCCCACTTCCGGTGCAGCTGGGCCCCTCACTGCGGCCCAAGTAGCAGAGCCCTGGGGCAGCCCCCGCTTCCTGCCTGACACCAGCTCCCTATATACCGTAAAAAAAAATAAAATAAAAAAATAAAAAAGCAACATTAATTATTATTAATAGTATTAAATATGCAGTGCATCCTGCCAAGTACTCCCTCTGCCCCCGTTTTGTTTTTGTGGCGTTCCAGCACTCTAGCACCTTACAAGGTAGACATTGTGGTTTTTTTGGCACTCTGGCCAAAAATTTTTGCCTACCCCTGGTTTACAGCTTCACAGTCCCCACCAGAGGGACCTATTTTTAATGGAATCCTATGACAGAAAAGGTCCTGAGTCTTACTTCCTCCTATTCTGATCACATCTATGTCTCTGCTTCAGTTTTTGTTCAACTGTCTACTTCTCTGTAAATCAAGGGAAGGCAAAGCCATGAAGTGTTAGTAGTGATGAAACAAGTGTGAAGATGCCACAGGGATATTACTACCAAATTAATAGGCCTGTGCAAAGCAGCTAATATTTGTTTTGGATTTGGATTCGGCCAATCCAGGGGACAGTGATTGGATTTGGTGATTTGAATCACTGCCCCGAATCGATTTGGCCGAATCTAATTTGGAGATTCAGCTGCTGCTGAATCAGCCAGGTCCATCCCCCATCCGCTCTCCCAGCTCAGCAAAAAAAAGCCCCAGCTCACCAGGTGCTGCCCGGCAGGAGAGTGATCCCCACTGCCCCATGCTGCATGGGGGGGGGTCT